TACAGCCGCCACCACCCACCCGCTTTCGGCCTTGTGGCGTACGTCAGCCCGTGGCTTTCGCGAGCTGGTGTAAGCTAGCCTCCCGAGTCCTGCCGCCCCCCCCTCGCGCTTAGTTGCTTACCTGAGGGAAGCAGCAAGCTTCTGGAAGATGAAGGGTGTTGAAATGGAGCAAGTGCGATGCGACAGCTGTTCGGGAACGAAAGATTTGTTTGAAAAGAGAAGTCTCCAAAAGAGAAAGACTCTTTTCAAAAGAGGCCGTTGGCGCCATGCTTTTAAATGGGTCGCCTCCAGCCTGCTCACTGATTGGCTGGACTCCAGCCAATCAGTGAGTGGTGGGCTGGGCTAGCCTAGTTTAGTGCGGATGGGCGGGGGAGTGAGCGAGCTGCAACAGGATGGCAAGGGCGATCGAGTAACAGGGCCGGTGCAGGCATTCCAGAATTTACTTCTGGGTCCACCAGTTGAACCTCCTCTCACCGGCTCAGTGAATTTCACGAACCGGTTTGCTCGAACCAGTGCAAGCCGGCAGAAACCCATCACTGTTCTATATCCTCCTATCTTTTCATAAGAGCCTGTAGACCTGACTCTGCTGTTGGGGGAGTTCCACACTAGGAGAGTTCCACACTGAAGGTGGCTGCTGGATTGATGGCAGACTCCACCTCCCCCAGCTTGCTCTTGCAGAAATCCCTCTCCCTCCTAGAGAATGAAATATTTTGGGGTATATTAAGAGGCAGAATATGATATTTTCCCAAAAGAGAAATGGATAAACATGCTCTTAAAGGCAGAAAGTAGCCCCAATTTCCTGCATAGTAAAACAGCCACCAGTGGATGCCTAAAGATTTTAGAGGTGGATATTTTGTGCTCATTTAGAAATCCAGGCCAATCTATTCACAATCAAAATACCTTCAGCTCTAGATGATGTGATTAAGGACAAGTTACCGTATATACTCGAGTATAGGCCGACCCGAATATAAGCCGAGGCACCTAATTTTACCACAAAAAAACTGGAAAAGTTATTGACTCGAGTATAAGCCTAGGGTGGGAAATGCAGCAGCTACCGGTAAATTTCAAAAATAAAAATAGATACCAATAATGTTTTTGAATATTTATTTCAAAGAAAAACAGTAAACTAGCTCTGTAAGTGGAAAAGAGCTTGGAAAGCGGGGGATTACGCCGTCTTGGCCAGCCGATCCCCCCCCATCCCGTCCTCTTTTCTCTGCCGGAACCTGGGCGGGGGGACTCAGCGGCGACCACCTCCATCCCCGCGCCTCAAACCCTCTTCCTCCCCTCCACTCCAAAACTCCTCGGGGCAGATGGCAAAGGAGGGGTGGAGGTAGAAGCGTTCAGTTTTTAAAAAAAGACTGGGGGAAAAAAAATTGAATTGAAAACAGTAACGAGAGAGACAAAAATCAGAGTATCCCAAAAAAACCCAACCCAACACTTTTTTTGTGCTTTTTTGCGCTTCGCTCCAGGATCCAGATGAGGAAGGCTACGGCCATTCCCAAAATTTTTCCCTCTCCCTCTTTCTCTCTTTCCCCCCCACAAAAAGCAGGACGTAATAGAGCTGTTTCGAGTCCCGATCATTCGGGATCCATTCAGAATCCTCTCGCCGCCAAACTCTTAAAGCTTTATCAACTCTACAACAAACCCCTTTTTCTCCCCTCTTCTCTCCTCCTTTTCTTCTCTTTTTTTCCTTTCTTTTCCTTTCTTTTCTTTTCTTTCTCCCGCAGACACACGCCCCAAATTTTTGCCGATTCTTAACCGCCATTGGGGGGAATGGAAAAAGTGGAAAAGGCAATATTCTATCCTATCTGGAATAACACGGGGGATTCTCAGTCATCCTGGAGCTCCCTGGACATCGCAGCAGCCCCAAGTGCGCGGGATCTCAGCGTTTTTTGCATCGGGCGTGTTGCAAGAAGAGGGAGTGAGCTTAACATCTCAGCTTTGCTGCCCAGCACTGGCAGAGGGGGTGGCTCCCCCCCTGCTCAGAGCACCTAAGCTGGGCACCGCGTTACCCCTGCCCTACCTACTCAGACCAGCTGAGCCTCCCTGGACATCGCAGCAGCCCCAAGTGCGTGGGATCTCGGCGTTTTTCGCATTGGGGCGTGCTGCAAGAAGAGGGAGTGAGCTTAACATCTCAGCTTTGCTGCCCAGCACTGGCAGAGGGGAATCCCGTCTCGGCCTCGGGTGGTTGCGGCAGAAGCAGCGAGCGTGGGGGCGACACTTCACTGGGAGTGACCTCTCTTTCTCCGCTGCATAGGGATGTGGGGAAAGAGCTCGGGCACCCAGTTTTCTCTCCCCCCTTCTTTCCTTCTCTCTCTCTGCTCTGGGAAAGGAGCAGCGCTCTGGCGAGCCCCGAGAGATTCCCCCGTTCTCTCTCTCTCTCTCTCTCCCGGCCCTTCCAAGCCGAGGTGGCGGGGGCGGGAAGAGGAGTCCGAGGGGGAGGGAGGGAGGAAGGGGAGGTGGCTGCGGCGGCTGGGCGATGGCCAGCAGCGGCCGAAGCAGGGGGAGGGAGAGCGAGATTTTGATGAGGCGGCCGCGGGAAGGACCGAGGGAGGAGGAGAGGACGGGGCTGCTTGGGAACGGAGAGGCAGGAGAGCGAGGCAGCTGCCGGCCGGTTCACCTCATGCAGAGAACTTCCACTTGTTCCCGGGGCTTGTGTCGAGTGGAAGTTCTCTGCGCGAGGTGAAACGGACGCCGCCGCAGGAGAGCTGCAGGGGAGGGCGGCGGGACGCTACCACGCCTCGCGAACTCGCGGCGTGGTCACTGGGAACTGCGCAGCACAGGCGCCGCCACACCGCGCTACGCGGCAAACTGACACAGAGGGAGGGGAAACTCACAGGGGCGCTGGGCCATTCACGAGCGTCACCCAGCGGCATGGTCCCGCCCCTTTTTTTCCTCCATTTCAGGCAAATTTTTCACTGACTCGAGTATAAGCCGAGGCGGCTTTTTTCAGCCCAAAAAGTGGGCTGAAAAACTTGGCTTATACTTGAGTATATACGGTATGAGCTTTTAGGACATATTAGGATTAACCCACCATCATTTAAATAGCAAAAGATGCAAAAGTCCCCTTCATTGCACAATCCCAAGAACAGTTCAAGCTTCAAAATAATAGAAATCTATACAGATCCATCCATTCATTCAATCATTTTATCAGCTGTCCCAAAACTGCATGCTGTGGTTCTGCTCATCAATACACAGAGTTTTTATTTCCAATCAGCCTCCATTTTATTTTCAAGCCTTTCTCTCGGCTTGGAACTGGACCAGATTTTTCTTCCAACACTCTCTATTCATATGTCCAATTTTTTTGAATATTAGATTGATATATTCTTGTTGTGTTATTTTTTATTGTTTACTTAATTGTTCTATTATTTTACTTTTATTTTGTTATACTCATTTTTTTTCTTTATTTATAGTCCCACAGTGAGATAAGCAGCAAATAAATTTAGTAAATAAATAATACTTTAGACATGGAAGAAATTACTTAAATAAGCAATACACTCAGTATATCAAGACTATGAAAAATTGTAATTTTATCAAGTTCCTAATAATAGTTTAGGAATATATAGTATATATTGAATATGTAGTATATATTAGCAATTTGTGATAAATTTTCTTCTGAATATAAAAGTGTATCTTTCATGCACATGCACACACACACACACAATCTTTTTTCCTTTCTTTTTATCTTTACTATGATAATTTGCTTTTTTCTTCTTTTACACTTTTATTTTCCATCTACTATGGATATGCCTTTACTCTTTTATTTCTCCAATTGACTGTCTGCAAGTAAACTATACTTACACCAATGCACTCAAGTGCTTCTTTTGAAAAGCTTTAAAACCTACAAATAATACTATGGCTTAGCATAACCAATTCATTAGCTCTTCCCTACATTTCCTACACAGGACTAGACTAAAATGTGGATGACAAATTTGTGATTCAAACATGCAGTCACAGTGTATTCACTGAATAACCTGGGTAAACCATGAAATACCATATTGCACAGTCAGATATTGCTTCACTTATATATGGTTAAGTATGAACATTGCAAATGAAAATAATTTATGCTTGTGCAAATACAGTATATGACTTTTGATGGCTGCAAATTATATAATGCAACCTTCTAGGCCCGAAGGCCTTTCAATATGTCTGGGTTTTCAACTTTCCCATTCCTGAGTGGACTGGTCTGATTATTACCATTTTATTGTCTGTTCTGAAAAGAATCTGTCCACTTTACAGAATTGATTTAAGAATTAATATTTTGGTCCTCGCTTCCTCAAAGGAGGCTTTTTCAGCATGACCCCTTCCACTGCTCACCATCACTTTTAACATTTTGGAAAAACATTACACCTAGTTCTTTCATAAAGTATTTGTGATTAAAGACTCCTTAGCCCTGCATTTTAAATTCTACCTTAATTGTATTTGGAGAGTATTGTAAATATGGTTCATTAGTGATTTTGTTATTGAGCATGGATCTTACTAGTTGTCTGAAGTGTGTGCAAATGGCTGAAGTATAAATTCCATTAACAAACTTAATACGGAACCTGGAGCCCTACACAGTTGGTGCCAGCAGTGAAAATTCGTCCTCTTTGAGCAGAGAAAGACCCAAAATATAGGTTGTGGGGAAAGCAGCTGACAAAAGCGAACTAAATAGGCACAAAGCACTGAATGTAAAGACAGATGAGTGAGCACGATGAATCCATGAATTAACCCATCTCTCAGATCAATGATTGAATCCCAAATTGGTAGGAAGGTCCTTCGAGGAGAGCGAATCAATCACAGCTCACAGCCGTCCCTCTCACCCAGGGTTGTTGTAAGAGTAAAACGCGGGTTGTTTCTCTGCGTCTCTAACTCCTCTTCCAGCCCCTCCCGATCTTATTTCCCTAAGCTATCCCAGCTTCTCCTCGGAGTCGAGGCCGGCCTTCAAACAACCGGCCAGCCTCCTGGGTTACGTCTCCTCTCTTCGTCAGGATATGAGCTCACGATGCCACCTCCTCCTTCCTTTTGTGTAATGCTTACCGGTTTCGTGTAAGCAAAGAAGCCGAAAATCACTCTGGGCCCTCTGGCCTGTGTTGCCGGGGTCGGTCCCCTCTAGTTGTGGCGAGAAAGAGGGTGAGTCGTGAGAGGAGGGGCGGCTGAAAATATGGGCTATACAGCTCACTTGCTCGGCGCTTGATCCATCTGTGGCATGGAAGCTGGTGGATGACCGCTTGTGGGGCATTAAGGGCAGTTTGGCAGAAGGTGATTCGGATTACGGTGGCGTGTTTTCGGCAGCCAGCAAATTATACCGGGCGTCTCTGGCCATGCGGGCTGGTAGTCCTAGGGCATCAGGCGGCTGGGTGGATTTAAAAAAAATCGTCCTCTTGGGGCTTTCCACATGCTTTCTCTGGAAGAATGCCTCTAATTCGGAAGATTTTGGAAGATTCTTGCGTCCCCCCCCCCCTCCTTGTTGTCTGAAACCCCCCCTCCACAAGCGAGTAGGATGTGGCTTGGGCTATATCCGAAAAGTCCAAGCTCAAGTCTGCCCTTAGCTACTGAAGCTTATCGAAGAGCCAGTGAAAGAGATAGATCTCAATTAAGCTTCCTCAGGAAGTTGTTGTTTGAGAGCAATAAGGGATTGCCCTCAAACAACAACTAAAGGCAGGGATCTGTGTTCTGAAGGAAAGTCAAGATATACGAAAACGATTTGAATCATCTGATTTCAACGTGGGGAAGACGGTGATAGGCAGTGAATGTTTGTAGGAATGAACAGAAAAGCAAACAGATTGACTTTGACAAGCCAATTAGTTTCAACTTGTCACGTATAATCATGATTTTTTTAAATCATCATCCTCAAAAACAGCTGGGATTACAATTGTTACTCAGATCCAGATAAACCACTTTATAATTCAATTCTTTCCATACCTTAGTGGTGTAGTGCCTTTATAAGAATATGAACTTAAAAGTACAGAATATTTTTCTGTTCATTCTTCCTGAAGAATGTCCATGAAAGTTGGAGAAATGTAATTCAGCATATGAAAAGACCTAATATGGGAAACCTATTATGGGCAGTAAGTTGTTAAATTTTGTAATTTTGACAATACATTTCAGAAAGAAGCTGGATAAAGTTGTACATTACAGTACTGACCAAAAGATAATACTGGAGGAGAGACAAGCAGTTATTTTGGTGTTACCGCTTCAGAAAATCTTCTTTCTCAGTTAAGTATACTGTTATGATCACTGACTAACATTGTCTGAAATTGCATAAATGTTTTCTAAAATCAGTGGAAAATAAAAACAATTCATTGTAATGCTATAAATTCAGATACAATATTAAGGAATTTTAATATTAAAACTAACAAATATAAAATTTTGTCATCAAAAAATTAAAAGCGGCTATATAGCAAGCTGCTAAGCAAGCAAAAATGTGCAAAAATATGTGCATATAAATATAATTAGGGACAATGACTGAAAAAAGTATAACAACTAAAGCATAAAGTAACTTTTTTTAAAAAATTGATCAGAAATATAAATAGATAGTTTTACAACTTTGTTTATACACTTTATGGGTATAAATTATTTATACCTTATAAAATACCAATGACTCTGAATGGACTTGCAACTTGGGTTATTGAAAGTCAGAAAAACTAAAACAGTACATATAATAGACATATTAGACATAGAACGTAGCCTCTTAGCTATAGTAACATAAGCTTTTTGTGGCAATTATTAAGGTTATGGGCTGTGGTTTATATTAACAATAATATTTATTGTTTATATTAAATTTGATCCCACAAGAAATAGGTAAGAACTATACATATGCTACATTGAGTTATAAAAAATAAAGGCCAGGTACAAGTGTAACACAAAATGTATGTTGTTAAGCAAGACAGTAGTTAAGTGAGTTTTGCTCCATTTTATAACTGCTTGCCAAATTAATTAAGGAAATCCCTACATTTGTTATGTTAGTAATATGGTTGTTAAATGAATCTGGCTTCCCCATAGACTTTGCATGACAGAAGGTCACAAAAGATGATTATGTGACCCTTGGATTATGATTTCCAACCATCATAAATATAAACAAGCTGTCAAGTGTCTGAATTTTGATCACGTATGGCTAACCATGGATGGCTGCAATGGTCATAAGTCACTTTTTTCAGTGCCATTGTAACTTCAAATGATTACTAAATGAATGGTTGTAAGTCAAGGACTACATGTAAATAAATAAAACTACTTCATAAATTGTTATTTAAAGTCAATATGACTGCTCCTTTAATTACAGAAAGGATATTTAGTACATAGAAATAATAGTTAAATATAATTACAAGTTGCATGGTTTTATTTTTAAAATTATTTTTTAAAAAATTGTATGTATATATGCAATATAGTTGTGTATCTCTGTGTAGTATATACAACATATACCCAAATATTGTACATTAAATATAACAGGAGAAGCAGTTTAGAAAATACTGGGTTAGATCTGTAAAAAGTTAATTGAATTAAAATGAAATTCATCGCATGATTATTTTGCTTGTTCATTTCAATTTACTTTTTGCAAAGCATGTTGATAAGGGAATAGGTGTCTGAGAAGATAGATTTAACATTTTATTTTCTGTTTATTATCATTTGTTTTCCCTTTCCTTTTTAGTTCAGCAAAAAAGTAATAACACCAGTTTAATATAAAGGCACAAATATTCCCAGGGCCACTGGCAGACAAGATGCTCTGGATTCAGCTGATATAGGATCATACTTGCTCCATTTCTACTATGATAAATTTTGAGGGTTACTATTGTAAGATTAGGAAATATTTTCACCACATCAGGAAAAGGAGAATAAATAAATAGTTAATCCTCTGTTAACGACTGTCCTGTTGGTGACCATTCAATGTTATGACAGCACTGAAAAAGTGACTTTATGACCAGTCCTCCACTTAAGGTTAGATTATTGCCATTTACAAGCTTTCTTTAGTAAAAATACACCTTTTAAATTTGATAACTTTAATCACTATAGATATATTGTAATATCTTACCTGACAATAACATAATCTGGCCCATAAAAATAGCTGTCCATTGTTTTATTACTAATGTTGTAATTGTTTTTAATAAATTACAATATGGTTTTGTTTGCTTCTTGTAAAAAAGGATAAAGTTCAATAAACCAGTCAGTCCCTTAAGAATATTTGTAATAGTTACCATTATTCAAATATATATGTGTAGCAAAATAAATTGGGTTTCTCTTGTAACCATTGATTTATAGTCTATTAGTAGATATCAGGAAAGAATAACTGCAAAGACAGAAATTAGTATAATGTACTACCACAAAAATATAAGTAAAATGGATTTTTTTTGTGAAAAATTTGGCTACTGAGAGACTATCTTGAGTTCTGAAAGGTAAAAAAAATCTCTATCCAAATATTTAATCAATAGTTTTAAAGAGTTATGTTTGTTTAATCACATAAATGAAAAAATACTAAATTTATTTTTTATTATAAACAATAAAAGCAACTATTTATGCTAGTAATTTGGATGGGAGCAGTGCATAAATATCCTGGGTTGAGAACAATATCTGTACCAAAGTAATAAAAGTAACTGTCTTTTTTAGGTGGCACAGTAATATTAAAGTGAAGAAGTTGCAATGGGGAATCAACTGGCTGGCATTGCCCCCTCTCAGATACTTTCTGTTGACAGTTATTTTTCAGACATCCATGATTTTGAATATGACAAAAGGTTGGGCAGCACTCGTTTTTTTAAAGTTGCGCGAGCTAAGCATCGAGAAGGCTTAGTGGTTGTCAAGGTGTTTGCCATTCAGGATCCAACCTTACCATTAACTAGTTATAAGCAGGAGTTGGAGGAACTGAAAATACGGTTGCATTCTGCACAAAATTGTCTCCCTTTTCAGAAAGCCACATTATCTGAAAAAGCAGCCATGTTGTTCAGACAGTATGTGAGAGATAATCTTTATGATCGAATTAGTACCCGGCCATTCCTAAACAACATTGAAAAGAGATGGATTGCTTTCCAGATCTTGACTGCAGTAGATCAAGCACACAGGTCTGGAGTCCGGCATGGAGATATCAAAACTGAAAATGTAATGGTGACTAGCTGGAACTGGGTCCTTTTAACAGATTTTGCAAGCTTTAAACCAACCTACCTCCCTGAAGACAATCCTGCTGATTTCAATTACTTTTTTGATACTTCAAGAAGGAGAACATGTTACATTGCTCCAGAGCGTTTTGTTGATGGCAGTATGTTTGCCACAGAATTGGAGAATATACGAGATCCTTCCACTCCCTTGGTTGATTTAGTCAACAGTAATCAACGCAGCAGAGGGGAATTGAGACGTGCAATGGATATATTTTCTGCAGGTATTTCAAACTGATCAAATGGTTAAAGTTAATCTGTGCTTTGCCTTCATAGATAATGAGTAGTAAACACTTCAATTTTGAAAATTAGTATTGAAAATATGCTCTGATTACTGGAAGAAGACTGGGGAGCTTCTGTATAAATATGGGATCAACTACTACACTAAATCAGTATTTCTCAAATTTTGGAACTGTAAGATGTGTAGACTTCAACTCCCAGAAGACCCAGCATGAACACAATACTAGAATTTTGGGAACCTGTTCTTTAAAGCAATGTTTCTCAATTGTTAACAACACCAGAGGTGTAGTCTTTCAGCTTTTGGATTTATACCAGAGCCCATTCTTAGGGAACTTTTCTCTAGCAGAGTGTTTGGAGATTCACAGTCATCCAGGTCATGGTTGTCCCAAAGGTGCTTTTTGTTCAAGAGGCAACTGGACTTTCTGGTTTTTCTAGCTCCTTGAATTTAAATCCTTCCATGCCCCACCATGCAGTCAGAACTGAAGAAGCTTCTTGGATGATAAATGAAATATCTTCAAAGAAAAATTAGAAAGTCCAGTTGCCTCTTGGAAAAAAAGTATCTCTGGGACTCTAGTAGAGTGTGCGCTTTGGGCTGTTCTATGTGTAGTATTTATGTGGTGTCTGGTTGTGTGTGGCTTTTTATTTGTAGATTGGGATGTTGATGGTTGGCTATCAAGTTGTTGGCTATTGTTTCTTTGTGATGCCAGGTCCTTGGCCCCTAAGAACCTAATAAGCTGGTGATAAATCAGCACTCTTGTTGATTGACTTGCAGATCTCGGAAGCTACACTCTTACTGCTTCTGAAATGGTTATTATATTTATTAGACAATGCCTGTACAACATGCAAGGGAGAGAAAAGAAGAAAGAAGGTACAGGTAATCCCTGGGTTACAAGTGTTCCATTAGCAAATGTTCGAGGTTACGTGATGTGCCCCTAGTGTTTATGAGCAAGTCCCAAAACTACAAATCTTGCAGCACCACAGCAGTTGTTCACCCTTATGAACAACTGCAGATGCTCTGCAACATTTGTCCTGCGTGTTGCCAGCCAAAATGGAACTTCTGAGGTCAGATCTGCCACTCCTTTCCATTTGGGCATCCAGAGGCCTTGTCTGGCACTTTGCCACCTGGAGCCTCTGGAAGCCCGGACGGAGCTTCTGAGGGGTGGACTCTCACCTCAGAAGCTTAATTTCACCTGGCAACATGGTGGGCAAGGCCAATGGAGGCCTAAATGGAGCTTCTGAGGGCCAATCCCCCACTCATAAGCTCTATTTCACCCAGCAATGTGCCTGGCTTGTGGAGGCCCAAATGGAGTGTCAGAGGGGTGCACATGGCTATGAGGCTGGAGAGGAGACTGCTCGCTAGATCTTCACAAGGTAAGTGAACTAGTGTGGCAGGTTGGGTGGGTGGGGGAAAGCAATTGTGGTGAGCATAAGACATTTCAGTGGATCATGGAGACCTTGGGTGATCTTAGGCAGGTGGCCTGTTTCATCAGTAGGCCCCCACATGGCCTTCCCCACCCACCCTGAAATACCTTATGTGCAAATGCCTCACATTTGATTAGCAAATGTGTGGCAGAAGGAGGGAGTGATCCCGTTTAAGGTACGAGACTCACTGCCACAAATCCTCTGTTATGAATGGAATGGACAGGTTCCATTCTATTCTTAATTTGAGGACTGCCTGTACAAGACTATATGGCATACATCAAAAACATTTTGGAAACAATAGAATGTAGCTTCTGAGATCTGCAAGTGGACATTGCACAATGCCCAGAAACTACTGTATGAGGATAAATCATGCATTGCAGAAATTGCTTGGAGGTGGAAGAAGCTTCTATTGTAATCTACCAAATCCCGAGCATTGATTGCCCTATGACTATGTAGGAAGATAACCACCAGATTGCAAAAACACAAACAAGTGGTAAAATGAGCCCTGAACTCCTTGGTAGCCTCACATTGCAATGAACAAGGACATAATTTCATAGCTACTAAAATTGTTGGCTCAGCAAGTACAAAGATAGTCAGGGAAATGATTGAAGCCTGGGAAATGCATCCCTTATCAGTCAACAGGATTTACAACCAGCTTATCATGTACTTAGGAGCCTAATGACTTGGCAGCACAACAAAACCAGCCAATGACTTAATAGCTATCTATCAACACCCCAATCAATAAATAAAAAACCACACACAATCAGGCACTACATAAATACTCTGCATAGAATAGCTCAAATCACACATTTTGATAAGAGAAAAATTTCTATTTGGATAGGCTCCAGCATAAGTCTGAAAACTTGGAAGACTAAATCTCTTATCCCAGTGACCCACCCAGATTGGAACCTGCAAAAATATATCTAGCTCAAGAGTTCTCAACTGGGGGTGCGAGACAATATTCCAGGGGGTAGGAAAACTTGGGTTTAGAAGTTTCAAAATTATAGTATATATGCATAATTATTTGCATAAAATTATTTACTTTTGTAAGGGGTGCGAGAATATATCAGAAGTGTTCTAGGGATGCGGGATATAGAAAAGGTTGGGAACCCCCGACCTAGCTGGTTTCCATAAATCTTCCTTGAAAATAATAAAGCTAGGTTTGTTTTTTTGGGTGAAAGTGATACACTATTTCAAAATATACACAGAAGAATATCTGGATGTTTTTAACTGTGTTTTAAAAATTGCTACACATAGAAAGCAGTTAAGTATGAAAGATCAAGCTTTGCTTTCTGCAAAATTCTAGAATTCTACCGTCAGTTTTGCCCCCCCGGGGGGGGGGGCAAATAGTTATAGGTTTGTGGCCATCTATGTTTTGAAACTATAATATTTCAGGGAAACCTATTTGGTATTTCTGTAGAATTGTAAAATATGCTGAATAAAACTAGTGTCTGTATATTTGTATATTAGCAAAATAGAAAAAAGATTCTTCAAATTAATGGCAATTTAAACATAATATTTTTTGACAATTACAGGTGGGGCTTGTTTTATAATTGGTCCTGAATTCACAAGACATTCAGACTTCAGCAGTCTTGTTACTGAGAAGGCAACTGGTGGTTCACATATTAAACTTGATTGACAGCATTGGCTGTCAATTGAGGCCAAGTTCTGAGTTATTGTTCTAACATGTCAACCTCTAAATAAATATGGGGCTGACGACCATGATCTTGGTTTTTGAGGTGTTAAGCTTCAAGCCATATTTTTCAGATATTTCTGAGATTCTGTTGATGACAGAGTCTCGCCATGCTCTTGCCATGCTTACTGGCAAGCAGAACTATATCATTAGTATGTCTTAAATTGTTGATCTGACAACAATTTAGGGATTTTAAGGACAGCATCCATGTTTTCCAGTGCTCCATTGAAAATTGACTCAGAGTAGATATTAACAACAGCGGAGACAGAATACAGCCCTGTCTGACCCCTCTTCGTATTTCTGCATCATCTGAGTATTTTTGGCCTAGTTTCACATTTGCTACCTGATGCCAATATAGATTATTTATGATTCAGATGTATTTGTCATCTAGTCCCACTTGTTTCAGGATATGTAATAGTTTGCTGTGTTTTATTTTATCAAATGCTTTTTCAAAATCGATGAAGCACATGTAAAGACTGTGATTGACATCTCTACAGCGCTGTACAAGAACTTGAATGCTGAGTAGGGTATCTTGTGTACCAAGATTGTTTCTGAAAACAAATTGTGTGTTACTTAGACACTCCTCAGTTTTGTTGTATATTCTTGTGTAAATTATTCTCAGGAATATTTTCAGGGCATGACTCATTAAGCTTATTATTCTGTATTCGGTACTTTTCTTTGCATTTATTTGGGGGTGGATTGTCACAAAGGTCGACTGTAGCCAATCATTTTTCTTTCCTGTTTCATATATTTGATTGAAGAGCTGCAGTAAAAATTTGTTCCCATTGTCTTCCAGCAATTTTAAAATTTTTACAGGGATATCATCAGATCCTGTGGCTTTTCTTGTTTTTGCTATTTTTATTGCATATTCAACCTCCTCCATAGTGATGTTTGGACCAATTGTTATCTTTCCTATATCTATATCATCCCTAGTGTCCTCAAAAAGTTCTTCAATATATTCCTTCCATCTTTTTAGTTTTTCATCTCATCCAAGATGATTTTTCTCCTCCTTGTCAACTAAGTTGTTGGTTTTCTTTTTGTAGTCACCTGCTGCTTCTTTCACTTTTTTGTGTAAGTCAAAATCATCATGAATATGTTCTGTCTCTTCTATTTCTTTGCATCTTTTCTCAAACCACTTTTCTTTTGCCAGTCAAATTTTTCTTCTAATTGTTTTTTGCAATTCATTGTATTTTTCTTTGTTTTTATTTTTATAAGAGCATCTTTCATCCATGAGATGAAGAATTTCATCCTTCATACACTGTTGTTTCTTGTGGTACCCCTCTCTTTGTTTTGAGTTTGTTACCTCTACTATTGCATTTTTAAATCTATTCCAATTCACTTCTACATCATTATTTAGGTTGTTGGTTTCTCTTAAATGAATTTCCAGTTCTTCTTTTATCTTAACTGCCTGTTTAATGATGAAGTCATTGTCAATTTTTGGTTTAAAAAGATTCGGGTTTTTCATCTTTTTTAGTTTCAGCTGGACTTTTGCAAGTAGTAGATTATGATACATCTGTGCCTGGGTATGTCTTTGCTCATTTTACTGAGTTTCTAAATCTTGTTTATTGTAAAACAGTCAATTTGGTTCCTTACTGTATTATTTTGTGTATCTGCCAGTGATCTCCAAGAGTAGAGGCGTCTTTTTGGTAATTTGAAAAAAGTATTCAGAACACATTGCCTATTTTCCTTGCAGATCTGTCACCTCTATAATTTCTGGTTTCTAACCCAACATTTCCAACTACAGGAGCATCACTTTCTTCTCCCACTTTTACATTGAAGTCCCCCATGAGTATTGTGATATCATTACCTTTTTAGAGTTTTTCAATATACTGCTTCATAGAACTTCTCTAAATCCTCCTCCTCATTGTCAGCTGTGGGAGTGTGAACTTGTATAACATTCATATTTACTGGAGTACTATTTATTTGGATCATCATCACTTTATCAGATACAGGAATAAAGGACTTGATGCATTTATTTACAAGATCATTTACTATTATAGCTTCTCCATTTTGATAATGTTTACTATTTTCAACAGAGTAGTGGATAGTATAATCTCCTATTCTACATATTCCATTTTCAGGCCAGCACATTTCACTCACTCCCAATATAGAGATATTGTATTTGAACATTTCTTGGATAGTGTTGTGTGTTTTCCCAGATTCATTGGGAATTCATTGTTGTGTGTTTTCCCAGATTCATTGGGAATTCATTGTTGTGTGTTTTCCCAGATTCATATGGGCTTCTCAAGTTCCAGGTTCCAATTCGTAGTTTTGGGTTTATCATACCTCTAGCAGACCAGGAGATTCTGAGCACCCTTGCCCCATTTAAGGAGTTCCTTTACTTAGAGCCATTGTAAAGTTTTGTCGCCATTAACATGATTTTCCTGGGAAATATATAGTGTAGTAGTATCCCCTTTGCTTTCTACACTGCTGTGTACACGCTGTTCAAGTGGCTGCCACCACACCATGTGCTATTCTTCTGAAGCCATTCTGACCAATGAGGTCTCTGCCTTCAGTTGATACTGATGAGCCAGCTACCACTGACCAAGCCCGTTGGTCCATGGGAGGTATTTGATTCCCTCCAACCCACCATTATAGCCTCCTGCCTTTCTTTCACCAAACAGGTAGTTAGGCACCCCCTGCCCCTCCCATTCCTAATCCTGCCTTTCTTCCACCAAAGAGGCAGTTAGGCTTCCTCCTCCAGCCCCATTCCTAATCCTGTCTTCTACCAAACAGGCAGTTAGGCTTCTTTCTTAGGAGGAGCCTGGAACCCCCACAGAGCACGAAACCCCAGGTGGCGGATTGGAGGGCCCTACCCAGTATAGATTTTATGCTTTATCTATCTCTCTGTGTGTGTGTGTGTGTGTGTGTGTGTGTGTGTGTGTGTGTGTGTGTGTCTTTGGTTGGTCTTCCAGGAGCAATGTCATTG